TATTTGCCCACCTTCCCCTATACTCTCCAGTCTAATAATATAGTGTTTGAAATCTCTCTTCCACCCCATTCCCCTATTCTGTTTGGACATTCAGAACCACTTTGCCCTTTCCTTCTCTGCTTCTAATTCTACTCCTAGATTTTATTACAGCAGATTTTATTAAATATTTTAGTTTTCACAAGTTGTATAGTTTCTTTTGGAACTTATCCTTTCTGTTTTAAGGTGGATTTTTTTGTTTGTTTTTTTAAACAGAGTGAAAGAGAGAACATGTGTGTGCGAACAGGGGGGGAAGGGGCAGAGGGAGAGAAAGAATTTTTTTTTTTTTAAGATTTATTCTATTTAGGGGCATCTGGGTGACTTAGTCAGTTAAACATGTGCCTTCAGCTCAGGTCATGATCCCGGGGTCCTGGGATCAAGCCCCTCCTTGGGGTTAATGAGTGGAACATCCAAGATTCAAATGCAAGTCTGTCTGGTTCCAAGCTTATATGCTGTTTGTTTGGTAATTTTTATTTTCCCATGAACATCCCTTCTAAATGGAAATCACTGTTTGGAAAATACTGAACCTGGGAAAGACAGTTCTAAGAAAGATAGTTTCTCCTGTGAGCAGTTGAGTTCCTGTCCTCTTGAAGATTAATCCCACAGTTGGGGTAAGGAAGACAGGGACTTTCCTTTTATTTATAATATTTTAAAGTCCTTAATTCCTGCCCCTCCTTCTCAGCTGAGAAACATTCATTATCTTGCCCTTTAAAAATGTGTGTGCAGAAGAATTATTGGAAGAAATCTTCTGAGTCCTTTGCCCTTTGAGAGTCTCTCTGCATCATTCTCTTTACATAGTCACTAGAATCAGTATAGAACAGAACCCTGAGGCTGTGGCAAAATTTATCATTAATAGTACTAATCTGTCTCATGAAAGACTTTGCCAGCAGCCTGAAAGTACAGTAAAGTACTTTCATAAAGTACTTTTCATAAGTAACAAATATTAACACATAGCAATTAAAAAATGCATTAATATTTGTTACTTGTGAAAGACTGTCCTTAATTTAAAAAAACCTTGTCTTCAGTTCTTCCAGAAGAGAACTTTTTCACCATAAATCATATTTTTATATTATATATTATTATCAATATAACATATTGTATATTAATAACATATATATTTATGTTAATTTTTATATTGCAGGGACTACATGTGATTTTGTTTGGGTATTTTTAAAAAAAAAGCTTTTTCAGGCATAATTGACATAAAATAAACTGCATAAAGTATACAAATTGATAAGTTTGTGACATGTCTACAATTATAAAATCATCAACATCATCAAGATAATAAACATATCCATCATCCACAGAAGTCTGTATATAAGCCTTTTTAATATTTCCTTCTATTTCTCACTGTCTTCCCCCATCTTCAAGGAACCACTGAGTTGTTTTCTGTCACTATAGATTAGTTTAATTTTCTAGAATGTAAAATAAATGAAATCATATGTTCCCTTTTTCTTCTGGCTTCTTTCACTCAGCCTACTTATTTTGAAATCTGTTTGTGTTGTCATGAATACCAATGGGCCATTCCTTTTAATAGCCAACTAGCATCCCATTGTTTAGATATACCACAATTCGAATATTCATTTAACTATTGGGGGAATATTTATTTTTCAGCTTTTGTCTACTAAATAAAGCTGTTATGAACATCTATGCACTAGTTTTTGTATGGATACACGCTTTCTTTTCTCATGGGTAAATACCTAGGGATGGGATGGCTGAGTCATATGGTCTGTGAATATTTACCTTTTTAAGAACCTGCCAAATATTTTCTAAAGTGATTGCTGTATTTTACATTCTTATCAGCAGCATATGAGGGTTCCAGTTGTTCCACTTTTTTGTCAACACTTGTATGCTCAGTCTCTAATTTTAGCTCCTAATTGGTTTGTAGTTACATAACACTGGGGTTTTAATTTGCACTTTCCTAATGACTAATGATATTGAGCTTTTCCATAGTCTTAATTTCCATCCATATGTCTTCTTTGGCAGTGTTCAAATATTTTGCTTGTTATTTTTATGAGGTGGTTTGTTTTCTCATTAAATTTTGAATGTCCTTTATATGTTCTGATTTTTGTCTTTTTGATATTCCTAGCTCTACTTAACATGTTCACTCTTTCCCTTCGCTTCTCGTACATATAGAATATAGTTACAATAATTATTTTCAGGTACCTGACTGATAATTCCATCATCCATCATCTCTAGATCAGTTTTCATTGATTGATTTGTTCTTTTCATTATGGGTTAGATTTTCATGTCTCTCTGCATGCCAGATTGGATGCCCAACATGCATTTTACCTTCTTGGGTGGTAGATATTTATTTGCTCCTAATAAGTATTCTTGAATTGTTCTGGGAAACGATTACATTATTTAGAAACCATTTGATCACTTGAGTCTTGTTTTTAAGTATTGCTAGCCTTCACAAAGCAACATTTAGTCTGGTTAATTTTGCTCTGCCAATGAGATAGAACCCTTTTAAGTGCTGTAGCCATTTTACCATGGATTATGAGGTTTTTTTATTGTGGCATGGGAAAAGGAACTGTTACTGGCTTTGTGTGAACTGCCAGGGATTATTCCTTCTAATTTTTTTAGATTGTTGTTTCATTGGCCTTAGGTAGTTTTCTCACATGCATGTGCTGATCAGTACTCATCTGAAACTGAAGTGGGTAATTCTGCAAGGCTCTGAAGCCCTATCTCTGGGAAGATTGCTCCTTCCATTCCCAGCCCTAAGATCTCGAGCCACCTTTACCTTTCTGGACTTCCAACTCAGTTCTGCTCACACCAGGGAGATCACTAAGTCCTTCCAGAGTTTCCACTCCTGGCATCAAGGTCCAGCAAGTCTTTCCAGGTAGGAAGGTAGGGCAATTATAAACCTCATCTTATTTGTGTCCTGTCTGTCAGAGATCACTGTCCTTAGTTGCTGGATTTCCAATGTTTTAAAAAACTCATTTTTAAAAAATGATTTTTAAAGTTTTCTTTTCAGTAAAGAGGATACATTTTGTTCATGTCACTTCATTTTAGCAAAAAGCTGAAGTGTGGTTCCTGCATCTGATTTTTATTGAATGCTTCCAATTTCAAAGGTAACTTTCAAACAATACTAATAATTTTTCAAGAAAACAATTGAAACTCTTAAAAAGTTCAAAATTCATGCTTCTGTTAAGAACATCTCCTTCCTTTTTAGAAGATCATTATAGTTGACTTTGGTGATATAAAGCCTAAGAGTTCTTGTTTACCCTTTATAGTTCGTCAGGATTCATTTACAAATGATGTTGGATTTTGGAGTTTTTGCTTTTACTTTGATGCTTCTGTTAGGGATGTAAAGGAAAATAAGCAGAAAACCTCTGTGCTGCAATGTTTCTCACTTTCAGCCTTGTAAGGTCAGCAACAATCTAAAATATCTAATCAATCTTAGGTCACATTTACAATCAATGAAACTTGTTGGAAAGCACTATTCTTTTTTTTTTTTTAAGATTTTATTTTTAGGTAATCTCTACACCCAACATGGGGCTCGAACTCACAACTGGGAGAACAAGAGTGGCATGCTCCACCTACTGAGAAGCCAGGCGCCCCTGGAAACCCTACTTTTTTTGTTAGTGTTTCTGTTCAGATTCCTCTAAGATTTCATTTACTTTCTAACTTTTGATGATCAATAAGTAGCTTGCTAAACGGTCGACACGCTTTTAAATGTCTCACATATACTGAATATCTAGTCTTTAAAACAATCCTCAGGGGTAAATTTTTACTTTCCCCCTTTATATTAAATGAGAAACTAAAGCAAAACAGAATCTTCCTCAGTTAGGAAGTAGCAGAGCTAGTATTCAAACATGCTATCCTACTGCTGTCCCCCATTAAGGTGTCAGAATTCTATATTGCTTTGCTTTTGATAACTTGGATTTGGAATTAAATTTTTATTAGATCCATTGACCAGTATTTGTTTTATGTTAATGTTGGGTGAAGGTATAAAAATTCTTATGCAATTTCAGAATTTTGAGGCAATAACTAATTTTATCCAATGTATTAATTTTACAGATGGAGACATGAAAATTTCATCCTATTACTCCAAGCCAACTAGCCAGTTAGGACCACACGGACTTATTATTACATAAATTATTCTAGACATTTTAAATGAAAATGTTTTGTGGCCTAATAAAGAACTGACTACCATTTGGATAAAGGGGTGTTCATTTTCTTTCTGCTTGCCTTATTTTTCTCAAGTGGTTATTTGAGAAAATATCTTTTTCCACTCCATTTCATTTTCTAGCTTTCACTCCATTTAACTGAAATGGTAGATTAAGTAACATAAACAAGGAGATTTATATTATTTTCATTGTTTTATCACCTATAAAGAAATTTTGCTAGTGCAGGAAAAAGTATCGTGAATAGCCAGTTAACTAAGGTAATGAGTAAGACACAGATAAGACATCATTACAATAGAACTATACCAGTTCCAATCTTTCTACACAAAAGTGTGATGCAAGGATTGGCTCCACAGGTATCAGGTTGGAGCTTGTTAGAAATGCAGAATCTCAGGCCTAGCCCCAGACCTGCTGACTCAGAATGTGCATTTTCGCAGAATCCCCAGGTGATTTGTGCACACAAAGTCTGGGAAGCGTTGCTCATCCTGGTTTTGCAGCTGTGTCCCCCTTCTGTTCATTTATTTCCCCAGCAAAGAGCTATAATCTGCTAATTATCCTTGATGAGCAAACCTCATAAAGGGTGGGAAAAGGAGAGTTGAAGCTTAAACTCCAAATTACTGACTTCAAACTGAGAAATATCACCTGCACGATTCCCTAACACCTTCCCACTCTCTACCCAGCTCTTTCGGAATATCTGAAACCACTGTAGTACTGCTCATCTTTGTGAATTCCTGCTCCTCATTCTCCTTTTTCCTTAACACACATGCTGTGCAACTCTATGGGACTGTGTCGATCTGGAAAGGATGGATGGTTTATACCGCAGTAACGAACTACCTCCAAGTCTCGGTGGCTTACAAACAAAGGTTTATTCCTCATCACATTACATGTTCATTCCAGGTCAGCTATCACTCTCCTTAAGTAGTTTTGCTTTAGGATCCATGATATTGCCCGTCTGGTAGAAACATCAACAGCTAAAGTGGCAGAAAGAAAAAGAACATGATAAACGACACGCTGGTTTTTAAAGTTTCCGTCCCTGTGTGATATGTATCACTTAACCTCACATTCCACTGCTCAACCAAGTCATATGTCCACATATGACATTAATTGGTTAGGGGAATTATGATTTCTCTTCCCTAACTGGAAATGACAGTGAGTATTTATGCATAATTATACATTCTACCATTGAGCATTATGGCAAAGTTTTATCCACTTCATTAAAGTATTTCGTGTAGTATTTTATTTTTTATACTTGTTTATTTACATTTGTTCCTTCACGAAACTAAGATTCCTCTAGTCAGACTAATTTTATCAGACTATTTTCTCAACACCAAATTAGTGCCCCATGTAATAGGCATTTGACAACTGTTTACTGAATGAATTAAAGATAAACATTATTAAATCACAGTTATATCTAGAGCTTGCATAACACTGATATTCTTATAATAAAACAATATGATTCTTAGGTATAAACACTTCTAACTTGAATAGCTATGTACTCAGATTACATCCTGATATCATCTGCCAAACACATCTTACCATGTCCGGTATGTGGCAGAGCCAGATCAGAATCATTAAAGAAGCTCTCAAAGAGTTTGTCTGGAGACTAATACAGTTTTCACTTCTGCCCAAATGTCTGTGTCTGATTCTTAAGATCTAAAAGAAATGGATGGAGGGAGTTTGTCTGCCTTAACTCTTTCATCACTAAAATAAAGGGGGTCATAGTCACAATGAAATTTGAAGTATTTGTGGGTAGACACTATACTCTACAGGGCATGTCAGTTATATTCATCCTCAAAAGATGAGGATCCCTTTTGCCTTCTCAACAATAAATGTGCATACTCTATTTTCTTGTAGGATTAATTACTGTAGATTTAATTATATAGACTTACAAGTAAGCCTATATCATTTAAGAGAGATACACATCTCTGAAATGGTGTTTGCTTTAAAAATATTAGGTTAAATTATATTTCACGATAACATGATCAGAATAGTAAACAATATTATTTTACATCTTGACATCCTATCTAAATAGGATGACAGGGAGAAAAAGAATAGTTTTCTATGAAATTGTATAAGTGCATATTAAATCATTACTATTTTGCATTTTAAACAGTACTGTAAAAAGAAATGAAGAAATTTTTAAAAATTATTACAACAGACAAATATTGGATACTTATTTCCTATATAAAAATAAATATTATTTAGGTAGAAATGTTATATGTTGAGGTGAAGAAATTTGAATTAATTATATGAAATGAAATACATTAGTAAAAGAATGTCTTTAGAGTTAGACATAAGCAAAGTAAAAGCCTTGAAGAGAGTAAAGGGGCAAATCTCCCACCTGCTCACTGATGCCTGAAATTGAGCTGCAGAAGCAGAATTCATTCCACTTAAAGTTTTAAATTCCTGTTAAAATGTGTTTTTTTTTTCCACAATAAAAATCACCTCTTTTAAATTGCAGATGACTTGAAAGGTTGAGACAGAATATCATCATATCTACACTCAGATTTTCTTAAAGAGAGAATTTAAATATGGATGAATCATATTGGTGGGAACCTGATTATCTAGAAACTGAGCAATCAATGCTGCTACTTAAAAGCTGTCAACAGCTTCTCAGTCAGTTTTGGGGTAGACAGTGGGTCATCTTGGAGTAGATCGCGTTTGCTTTGAATCATTTAAGTGACTCATCTTAATGATATGAATTTGGAGTTAATGAAAACTTTATTGTTGCTACTGTTGTCATTGGTTCCTTATAAAGACTATTCCCTTCATATTCTTGGTAGGAAGAGTTCAAAGTCTCCAGAGAAGGATAAGGAAAATTTTGCATAACCCCTGCAGAGGCCTTCAGGACAAAGGGTATAGGAATCATATACTCTTTTACAGAAGAGATTTATTATAACCACTCTTATGGTAGAAGCTGTTCCTTACTTAGGTCTTTTGAAGGCAAAGGATACTAGATGCTCCCTAAGGAAACTCACCAGGATGGCTGGAGTAGGGATCAGGGCCAAGAATGATGGACGTTGGGGAGAGCTAGTTCAACGCTGCATGTGACCAAGGCTGGCTCCACTTCTGATCTAGCAATCAGTGAGAGTGGAGCTCACAATGTGGTAAGTCACAACCTTAGGAGTACCGCATGTAAAGGATCCTTAACCCTGCATGAGATAATAGGGTTGGGGGTAGATGGGTTTACCTTCCTGGAAATACCATTTCAACGTGTTTCACAAATCAAGAAGACAACAAAAATATAAGTTGCACAGACTGTGGCAAGATGAGTTTCTTCTATTATTTTTATGAAAAATTCACACATACAGACAATTTTGCAAAATAATACAAGAAACATTTGAGTACCCACTTCATAATTTTAATGTTATGCCAGACTTGCTTTGGATTTTTTCTTTTTAACCTTAAGATAAATTTGAAATCTCCAGTGTAGTCCTCCCTGACTCCATTTCCTTCCTAAACTGTTACCTAGAACTTGATGTTTATTATTCTTGTGTATATGTTATCTTTATTACACATACATACCCATAAAAATATAATGTGTTTTATATATTGTATAATGGCATATAAGTGATATTGAACTGACATATTCATTTGTAACTTTTTAGTTCATGATTATGATTTAACTTACATCTGTGTTAATAGATGAAGCTAATGCAAAATTTTCCATTTTATGACTACACTATTTATTCTCCTGTTGATGGACATTAAGTTGTGTCTAAATATTTCCCTTTAGGCTTTCAAGAGAGCATAACATATAGATCAGGATGATGGACTCTGGGGCTAGACTAGCTCTTTGAAAATCCTTGTTCCACCACTTATCAGCTATATGAACTTGGTGAATTCCTTACCCTTTGTATGTCTCACGTTCATCAATTATAAAAGGGAATACAATTAGCATCTACCTCAGAAGGTTTTTGTGAAACCTAAAAGAGTTAAAATAGATAAAATATTTAGTAGAGTAAGCTGCTGCATAATAATGTTACCTATTGTTATTATAAAATGATTTTAAAAATCTTTCTTATACAGGTGTGTTATACATAAATGTGTAAGTTTCTCTAGGATATATCCCTACAAGTGAAAATACTCGGTCTTAGATCACATAAACCTCCCATTTTACAATATACTGCTAACATTACAAGATCCCTCCTGCAAAATTGCTTTCCAGAAGAAATTTTACAAATTTATACTTTCCTCAGCAATGTGTGAGAATTCCTTTATCTCCACTTCCTCTCCAATACTAGGCATTTAGAAAATGTTTCCCAATTGTTGACTGTGAAATGGCATTTTATTGTGGTCTTATTTTTCAATTCCTTAATTACTAGAGAGATAAACAGCTTTTCATCTCTTTATTGACTATTTGGGTTTCTCCTTTTGTGGCTTGCCTGCTCCTAGCCATTATTGTTGTTGCTTTAGTTTTAATTAGAGTGCTTTTCTTTATCTTATTGATTTGTAGGTGACCTTAACATTTTTGAATATTAATAATGGCTAGACTTTTCACATTTTATGAAATTATTTATAGTACTAATATTTTAAATTTCAGTGTAGTTCAAGTTATCAATTTTTCTGTAGATTATACATTTCATGTCTTTTTAATAAATTCATTTTTACCTGGGTCATAAAAGCAGGGTATTACCCTTACTTCTAGACATGATACAAGTTCTTTATTTTTAGGTATTCATTCACCTGAAATGTGAGTGTTTATTATATGAGATGATACAGAAATATCACATTATTTTGTTCCATATAGATTATCAATTTTTCTAGCACTGTTTATAAAATTGTCCATCTTTTTACTTTTACTGAAATTCTGTTTATCATATATCTGTATTCTGTTTCATTATTTACCTCACTCTCCAATAATAACCATACAATCTCAAATGCTAAGGTTTAAAATTAGCCTGGTGATGGGTATTAAAGAGGGCACGTACTGAATGGAGCACTGGGTGTTATACGCAAACAATGAATCATGGAACACTACATCGAAAACTAATGATGTAATGTATGGTGATTAACATAACAAAATAAAATAAAATTTAAAACATAATCTTATTTTCTGGTTGGGTTAATTCTTCCACTTTTTTTTTTAAAGATTTTATTTATTTATTTGAGAGAGAGAATGAAAGACAGAGAGCACGAGAGGGAAGAGGGTCAGAGGGAGAAGCAGACCCCCTGCTGAGCAGGGAGCCCGATGTGGGACTCGATCCCGGGACTCCAGGATCATGACCTGAGCCGAAGGCAGTCGCTTAACCGACTGAGCCACCCAGGCGCCCTAATTCTTCCACTTTTTGTTCTTAAATTTTTTCTTTGCTTTTCATGGCTTTTTTGCTCTTCAACATAACGTTTTAAATCACTCATTATTGAAAGCCCTGTTGAGATTTTGGTTAGAAATGCACTAAAATTATGGATTCATTTGAGTTGAATGGAATATGTTTGAATATGAGTTGAATATGACATTGAATAGACTTGTTAAAAAACAAAATTGAACCAAGTACATTTGAAAATCTAATTGGCTTTATTAAATGATTCATAAATCCCAAAGCTCCACTGAGTTTCTTTTTTAAACAAAAGAAAGGCTTTGAAAGGGAGAGAGAAGGCATTAAAAAAAAAGACAACAGGTATTTATTAGTAAGAAATGAATTGTTTAGGCAAAGTTGCCCTCCAAAGGGGAGCAAAAAGGATCTATCCGAAAATTTCCTACTGTTGACCAGAAATCCCATGTTGATTGGTTAAAGATTACATTCCTACAGGCTTGAAACTGCAGTTAGGTTAGGTATTCGGTCTTGGTTTACTGACTTGGGGCCTTAACCTAAGGGATACTTTCTTTATAGAAGAAATGTCATTATACATTTGTCCAAAACCTCTAGAATGTACAAAACCAGGAGTATATTGTAACTTAAACTATGGACTTCGGGTGCTTGTGATATGTCAATGTAGGTGCATCAATTTTAACAAATGTGGAGGCAGGGGTTATATAAGAAATCTCTGCAAGTTCCTTTCAATTTTGCTGTGAACCTTAAACTTCTCTAAAAAAATTAAGTCTTAATAAGAGAAAAAAAGCTCTGTAAGAGAATTAATTTACTTTCTCTGTACCTAATCCTAATACTTGCTTCCCCTTGTCCCTCATGTAATTTCAAAAAGTAGTTGCTATAGTGGACACCCCTTTCTTGTTCTTGATTTAAAGAGAATTAAAAAAAAAATCTCCATTAAATTTCCCATCTGCTCTAGCTTTTTGTAAAATCCCTTTATAGTGTTAAAGAAGTCCTATTGCCTTTTTGCTAGGAAATTTTTTACTTGTTTCTTTTAGAAAATAAACATGTTTCTTGAGTTTATTAAAATTTTAATCTAACTCATTTATTCTGACTCATAACATGATTTTTCTCCTTTAATTGCTAAGAAAAAAAAGTATATTAATGTATTTTCTGAAATTCGTTATCTTTTTGCCTCTTGGAGATTAAACAAAACTTGATCATTTAATTTTTTTCCATTACTTGATTTTGATTGCTAATATTTTATTTTTAAAAAATGTAAGCTATGCTTGTAGATAAATTGGTCTTTTATGTTTTCTTAGTCAAATTCTGGCAAAGGTCATGGTCATCTCATAAAATGAGTTGGGGGCCGTTCCTTCTCTTTTTTGTACTCTTTAACATTTAGTTGCAGATTGGGATATGATTTGCCTGAAACACTCACGAGACCTGATGTTTTTGTTTATTTGGGTACTAGGTAGAGTTTTAATATTTCTTGAATTTCATTAATGGATAAATTTCTTTTTAGCTTTCATATTTCTTTTTTAGTTTGTACCTTCTTTCCATTATGTTGGCAATAAGTCAAACAAGGGCAACTAAAATGAAGGCTTCTCCTCCCCTGATTTAATTTTCCATTCCTTTACCTCCAGAATGTTGGAAGAAAGAATATTTCTTTTAAATTGAAACTGAGTAAACCCTTGAAGTTCTTGAATAATTCTGGGCAGAGAGGTAAAATGAAAAAGAGTTTTGGAACTTCTTGTTAATTTTGGCATTTAGGAGACTGAAATTTTTAGTAAGGAAAATGATTTTACTTGTACCTGAGGTGAGTGAATGGGACAATGTGTTATATCCATACCTATCCTTATTTCTATCTCATTATTCATTATCCTTTTCTCTCTATCTTTAGGGCTCTTTTTCTCATAGGGTACATTCCTTACAGTACCCTACATATAACAGTATGTGTAATAATAGTTACTTTATCTTTTATGCCTGGTGTGGTAATCAGAATAATGGCCACCTAAAGATGCCCAGTACCTGTGAATATGTTAGTTTACATGGCAATGAGAAATTAAGGTTGAGGGACGCCTGGGTGGCTCAGTTGGTTAAGCATCTGCCTTCAGGTCATGATCCCAGGGTCCTGGGATTGAGTCCCACATTGGGCTCCTTAATCAGCAGGGAGCCTGCTTCTCCCTCTGCCTGTAGCTCCCCCTGCTTGTGCTCTCTCTCTGACAAATAAATAAAATCTTAAAAAAAAAAAAAAGAAATTAAGTTGAAGATAGGATTGCATTTGTTAATCAATTGACTTTGACATTGGGCGGTTATCCTGGATTATCTTAATGGGCCCAATATAATCACTAGATCTTTTTATAAATGGAAGACAGGTATAGAAGAGAAACAGATAGAGGGCAGCATGAGAGAGAACTGGCCCTGCGTTGCTGGCTCTGAAAACAGATGAGTGGAGTCATGAGTTAAAGATGTTGGTGACCTCGGGGCACCTGGGTGGCTCAGTCGGTTAAACGTCTGCCTTCGGCTTGGGTCACGGTCCCGGAGTCCTGGGATCCAGTCCCGCATCGGGCTCCTTGCTCAGCGGAGAGCCTGCTTCTCCCCTGCCTGCCGTTCCCCCTGCCCCCTGCTTGTGCTTGCTCTCTCTCTCTCTCTAAAAAAAAAAAAAAAAAAAAAAAAAGATGTTGGTGACCTCTAGAAGTTGATAAATGCAAGGAAACAGATTCTAATGTAGGCCTCCAGTAGGAATGCAGCCCTGCTGATTTCTCACAACCCTAGTGAGATCCATTTCAGAGTTCTGACCTCCAGAACTGTAAAATAAAAAATCTGTGTTGTTTTAAACTGCTACATCTGTAGTAACTGTTACAGTAGCCATAGGAAACTAATACACATGGCAATTCGAA